TCATTTTTAACACTCGATTTTAACTACTATCATTTTACACCTCAGAGTTACATTAAAAGAATGTGACTCTACTTAGAGTAAAATTAACTCTACTTTTGCAAGAAGACTACTAACACCAAAACATTTAACACTTTTGAATTTGCTGTGTAGCACTGTCCGTGGCCTGTATTTTAAAGCCTTGGCCTGAGCTTCTTGTTCATTGCTATCTGAAACCAGGAGTCAGCATGCTCATGCATTAGTGGCTTGTCAGGCAGAAAATAGGCCTGCTCTGAAGCATGCCCTACTTTATCCTCCTTCTGTTCATTGATGGGGAACATAATTTACAAAGTGAAAATAATTTTTGGAGTATTTACTGAGGTCACATATCAAGGAAACCTGAGGGTGGTTTTCCCTTATTCGTCTATACAGCTGGAAGTGTTTTTGCAGCCAAAATTGATCAGAACCCAGTAAGGAAGCAGACATGAGAGCTGAGTCGTTTGTGGCAACTGTATCAATAAAATCTTGTCAATATCCATCCCCAGTCATAGGTATATGTGTGATAATGCATTAGTATTTATTTTTTTACAGTAGAGCTGCAGGAAATGATTATGTACAATATTGATAAAGCTTCAACTTATGACAAGCAAACACATTGTCAAGCACATTGTGTAACCTATAAGGTCAAAGGTCAAAAGGGCTACATGAGTGCAGATTGTTTACCATTTTTCATCCGTAAAAGATAACTTACTAGAGCTAAAAATGATATAGTTCAGTGTTTGGGTTTGCTTTGAGTTCAGCTCATACCTTTTTTTGGCCTATTATCTTAAACTTTTGACTTGCTAACCCCAAATTTCAAGCTAATTTCTCAATTTTGAGTTATTTTCTCAAAAGGTTGAGTTGATAAGATAACATTTTGAGCTATTAACCCCATGTAACAGTGTAAAATCTCTGAACACAGCAGGTTAATAAATGGCAGGCTTGTAATGGTGAGACTGCCTCGTTTTCTGTGTTTGTGTGAATTTTTGTTTGTACAGTATAACAAAGTTTGTTGCAGGCAGCTCAGCCTTGGACAGAAAAGATTAGACTGACAGTGGGGTAAATGTTTAATGTGATCGAGCAGCATGATGTGGGAAAACACATCAGTTCAGTCACAGGGTGAGGGAGAGAAGGACCGACGCGGAGGATTTCCTGTGAATCCGTCACAATCAGAAATGTTTTGGTCACTAATGAAAGTAAAATTTTGGTAAATGGTAAACTATTAGTAGTTACTTTATTATCACTTGTGGTGACTGATGAAACTGTTTTGATAGTGAGTTAATCATTTTTTGTAATTTTCTCATTTGCTGGATATCTGTGGGAACTTCAATCAACCAAGTAATCTTTAAAAATAACACTGTCGGTTATTCCCAGTTTTTTTAGTCAAGGCAGTTCATCAATTGAGAAAATAATCAGCAGATGAAATAAAATTGCAGTTGTATTCTCACAGTTGCCCTGCGACTTATTTTCACACAGACAAGTGGAGAAAAGAGG